GCTTAAAAGTGTAGTTGTATGAGATAGAAATGTTGCTTTTTGAGGTACATAAAAGCATTGCCATTTGGCCTTTTAGGCTACACTTTTAAGCGTACCTGATAAGGCAACACTTGAAAAGTGTTGCCTAAACTCTAAGGTAACGCTACTTTCGGGCACCCCTGGAAAAGTGTTGCTTAAAGTCCAAAAGTGTAGCCTTTTATCAATGGCCACACATTTTGCTAGTTTAGGCCACACTTTACTGGGGTGGCCGTAGACCTAAAATGGTGTAGTGTGTCACAGTCCTTGAGGAATTCAAGCCATCTCCTCTAACGAAGATTCAACTTTTTCTAGGTGAACACATAATGGAGGCTCTTATGATCTGTAAATAGGTCAACATGAACACCATGAAAGTAGTGTCTCTGTCACGATCCGAGGTTACACCCTTGAAGTAACACGGCATAATTAAAGCATAGGAAAAATAATGTGAAATTTAAAACGTTTCTTTATAATCGAAGTCTTTTAAAAAATAAAATAGATTCTATGACACTATGTCTCAACCATCTATTATACTTGGAATAAAACTCTTGAAAATACAAGTTAGGGACATAGCCCTTACAACCAAAGTCTAAAATGCAAAAGAAAGACAATAAAGGACATAAGGTTGAGCCCTCGAACACAATGAGGACTCACCCAATCTTCTTGTTCCTGATCTGATATGAACCTAGCCACGAGGATGGAATCCAATATCTCCAAAGCCTACACTTATAGAAAATGTAGAAAGATGGGGTTACAAAAAAAGTACTAAGTAAGAAAGCCATGCACAAAAAACCATTAAAACATGTATAAAAAAGGGACATTTAATTTGAAATCATGCTTTATGCCATTTTTGAACATCATCTTTGAAATAGTTGCAAAGTGCAACCAATAAGGCAACTCACATACATTTCATTATAACATGAGAGATATCATTATAATAACAAGCATAGTTTCCAACAACACTATGACACACATCCCAATCTTCACAATACATAGCCTCCAATCATAAAAGAATACAAAGTCAAATACCAAGATTCTTATCATTAAGTAACCATCACATAAGCAATCCCTAAGAAATACTTGTGCAATGTATGGTTGTCATCCGATAATACAAACCCTACTAAGTATTCCCTTGAAGCTACCTCGGTCATGAAAAACACTTGAACACAGGGAAAGGCATTCATAACAACTATCCATCCAATACACATGCATGCATTAAAATTTCATCATTAACATAAAGGAACCATCCCATGACATCCCACTAAGTCTACTTGTGCAATGTAAAAATGAAGTCCCATACCCCCACTCCTACTAAGTAAAACTCATTAAGAAGTCATAGTACAGTTCATGCCTCATTAATTATCTTCATTATATAGGGAAAGTAGCATTAACCGACATAGACCATGTGAGCTACATGAAATCTGGTGTTCTACCCTCACTCCAAAAAGAGGGCGTCCTACTTGCCTAAGGTAGAACTATCGTAATAGCTTTTAGGTGGATACACTAGCTAAAGACCTATGTGGGCACATAGCTATGGGATAAGGAAATTGCTACTAGAAACCCGGAATTCTAGCATAAAAGGTTTCGATCTCATGAGACAACCTATGTTGGGAAGTCGGACTTGCTAAACGTAAAAGCTTCCTATATCATTGTTCATATCCACTCGGTGCTCTAACTATTTCCCTTTAAAAGTCATTAAGCCTTTACTTAGGTTCACGTTCAATAGAGAATGCACTAGGCACTCAAACCAACATTCATCATAATAGCTCAAAGATTCATTAAGTGAGAATATCCTTTCACTTTAGATCCATCAGCAAGTGAGTAAACCTTTCACATTAACATTCATAGTGTTTTCATGAGAATTAGACTTTCAGTCAACACAATAACATCCTCATATCCTAGACAAGTTATACATTTCATACATAATAATGTGTAAAGGTGCATATTAGAAATATCCTTTCAATTAACACCATTGATACATCATACTCATGTTTATATATGGAGAGTGTGTGTGTAATTATCCTTGCAACGACACAATCAACAACATTATCATTATAGACACTTCCTTCATAATTAAGTGTAAAGGGTAATGGAAGAATGTCCTTTTCAACAATACCACAATATACACAATATTCCTAGGACTTTCAACTTCTAAGTAAATCATGAGTTCACACACAACCTTGTCAACATGCACAAACCTTCACAATATGCCCTTCTAGGCTATGGACCAACTCATTCTAGACATAGAGCAATAGCACATTAGATAAGTGAATACCATAATCCAATAACTCATCAATACCTTAATCACATCATGATTGGCAATTTATACTTCAAGTATTCATCAACATGCACCTAATATCATAATCAAGTCAATCCTTATTTAGAAGTGTTATCCTAAACCAATTCAAGTGTAGGTGATCTAAACTAAGTCATTACATGAGGAGATACATCATTCTTGGAGGATCACATCTAAACCCTCAATTTGCCTCTTTCATGACATAACCCTAGAAGCTTAGATTAATCAAGAATATATGTATAATTATATTAATAATCAAGTAACCACATCATAATTAAACACCTCCATCTTTCAAGTGGATCAAGAAGTTCATATATAATATTCTTCAACATATACAACCCTAGCAAATTGCCCTTAAAGGCTAAGAATCAAGATCAATCCTAACTTACTAAAATTACCATGTTAGATAGAGAGACATCATGATTCAAAAACATAATAAACCTAAACATAATCGATTATTAAGCTTCCATGACCAATGAAGTCACACCTTAGTTCACAATTTAGAAAGAAGGGGAAATCATGGGTCTAAGGGAGATTTTCATCAAAAACCATAAATACTACATAAATCCAATCATAAATCATCAAAATCAATCATAATAAAACCTTAATTAAACAATTGAATTCGTTTTGGAAGAAGACCCATGACTAGATTTGAAAACCCTAGATTTGGGGAATTTGAAAACATAGTTGAGGGGGATTCTTGGTGATAGCTAACCAAGAATGAAAAGCATCCATACCTTAGGTGTAGAATCCCATCAAATTCATATGAAAAAGTCTTCTTCTTGAAGCTCTAGCTTGATCCCTTCCTATGTTCTTCAATGGAGTCTAGAGAGAAGATTCTTGGAGGGAAGGGAAGTTGGGATTTCATTTTGGGTCTTGGGTCACGATTTATTAAAAGGAGTTTTAATGACTCAAAATAGTTTATATAGGTCTACTAAATCAGTATAAAACGACCCTAGATTAAAACAATTAAATACCTAACTAATTCCCAAAACCCTAAGTTAAACTAAAAACTCAAAAACTGTCACCACATACAGACCACCCATCCACGGATCGTGGATGGGTTCACGGGGTGTCAAAGAGGGTTCGTGGCTAGGTACTGAGGCTAAATGTTGCATGCCTTGACAGGCCATAACCCACGACCCCAGCCCACGGGGCTTGGGTCCATTGATGGTCCGTCTATTGGACGCTTGATCGTCCTCCTCAAGGACCCCTTGGGTGGTCCTTGGGGGTCATACCCGGACGTTTTACCCCTAAATATGTCATTCTAAGTACAGGAGTCACTTCGTTGAGTTTTAACCCTTATACGACACTCCAAAAACTCCTTCGAAAGTCTCTCTGACTAACTAGTTCAACTTACTAATTTCCGGGTGTTATAGTCGTATCTTGACGTTTAACCCCTAAATTCCTTAACCTTCACTCGGGAAACCATTTAACAACATTTAATCAGGTTTCCAACTTCAAACTCACATGTGAGGCTATAGTTTCACCTACTAGATTTCGTCAAGCATTAGCTAGGTCTTACTAGTTTTTCCGGCTTGTTACATTATCTCCCTCTTAGGAACATTGGTCCTCGAATGACACTTTACACACCTTTTTTTTTGGAATTTTAAGATGCAACACTAGCAACCCAATCATGCATGAAACTTCACAATAATGCACAACTCAAAATACACTATTCACAATGTGCCCTTATTCTAGGAGGAAACATCAACTCCAACTTAACATGATCAATGCAATATAAGGAAGTATGAACTATACCTAAACAACCTATTCATGGATGAGATTCTAACGACTTGTCATGTTCAAGGACGAAATACCATCTCCTAAATAAAACATGTGCATTTATTCTTGTCATGAAGTACAATAAGCAACTCTTACTCAAAGCACAACAACATTGGGGAAACAATTTCACTTAAACTCATTTTCTTTCGAAACACAAGTCTTCAAGAACATGTATTATATAAAGATGTCATGGCAACATATAAGCACACAACAACAATATTAGCTAGGCATACCATTTCCCCCTTAGGAGTGAGCCTATATCATCACTTCTAAACATCCTTAATCACATAGTCATAGGAAGAATTACATTTTCTCACTAAAAGCAAGCTCAACACAATCAACATGGACCCAAGTGCCATTTCATCAAAAACACAACAAAGCATGTTCATCACACCATCTCATGAAGTCAAATATGCCATCTCCATACTAGAATTCACAACAACATGAGGAACATGTAAATCATGAAAAATCCATTTTATACAAAGTACGAATCTTTCAAAAACATAAATAACATAAGGAGATCATGGAAATTTCTAAAACACTCATGACTCTTAAACACAAAAGAAGCCCCAAAAAGAAACTCTTGGGCTCAAGCT